GCTACAATTTGGCTGCACAACATACTTAATTACAACAATAGTTTAAAATACAAATCACTAATTATTGATAGTTTAAAGGTATATATTGCAATTATCATCTAGTTAATTTTTTTTAATAGAAATTTCCTTTTTCATTCCTGCTTCCTTCCATCGTTTTCTATTTTTTTGCACGATATTCATAGAATCTCTAATTGAACAGTTTGATAAATTTTCATTTTAATGACGTGGAGTCTGGCCCCCTTTTTTACCCCTTTTCTATCAAATCAGAGTAATACTCGTAATTTTTCCTAATTCAACATTTCAGAGTTAAGACATTATTATATGTCTATATGATTAAAAAAATTAATTAAAAGTTGACTAATAAATCTTCAATTTTTTATGCATTAAATTATCGATATCTATTGGAAACTCTTATGTACGTTTTTCTATGTATTTTTGTTAATTAAAAATTAATGACAGCAATCTCGAAGTTGGACATGTGATTGGTCGGCTTATTTGATGCTCATGGCAGTTTTTTTTTAATTTATATTATCCATATAATCTAGTTTACTTGTACAGTAATGCAGTTAACTAATTTTTGTTTTAAGTTTAGTTTATTAAGAATTTTTCCGAAATTGAAATGCAGAACTTGGGGCGTGATTTTCTTAAAGATTTATAGTAACTAGGCATGAAATTTTGAGCGAGAAGATCAGCGGAAAAAATGGATGATGTTTGAATCTCATAAAGATTTTGCGATTTTGTAAATTAGCAAGAAAGTCGGCACCAGGAGACTAGCGGGAGTTGATATGGTTTAATCTTTGTATGTTGAAAGTCACGTAAGCTGAAACATGTTGCTCCAGTTGAGCATTATAGTTGAGAACCATCGTCGAAAATTGGCCTTGTTTGGATTGCTTTTTTTTTTTTCACAAAAAAATAATATTACGTTTTTCATAAATATATTTTTTAATTATTTTTTACTTCACATATATCAAATCATTATAATATATTGGATTAAAAACAAAAAAACCTCATGTGTCATACCTAATACACAGAAAAGCCACCCGTGATTTCAAAACATACAAAATGACACCTCATGTTTTGAACTAAATTGTAAACTAACAGAATTTGTTAAATTTAATCGAATCCGGTAAACGTAATGGAATCCGGTAACTTTAACAGCCGAAAGCCTTATTTTCGTTAAATTTAACGAATTCTGTTAGTTTATAATTTAGTTCAAAATATGAGATGTCATTTTATATGTTTTAAAACTGCAGAGGGCTTTTCTATGTACTGCGGAGAGCATCATCAGTACCATCACCAACTCCATCACCATCACCATCATCGTTGGCCAGGAGTTCATTTACGTATGATCAAATTCTCCAAGCCACCGATAACTTCAGCAGCTCCAACTTGATCATGTATGCCCGCACAGGGCTTCTGTTTAGGGGTGCTTTAGAAGCTGGAATTCGGGTAGTAGTGAAGAAAGTTGACTTGTCCTTGATCAATAGAACTTCCTTAATGCGAGAACTGGAATTTTACAACAAAGTTTCTCATCCTAGATTTGTCCCTCTTTTGGGGCATTGCTTGGAGAATGACAATCACAAGTTTCTTGTTTACAAATATATATGCCTCATACGGACTTGCACAGCTTTTGGTCCAGGAATGTTGTTCCATTTTACCGCGGTAAGAATTTAGATTGGTTGAAGTGGGAAACGAGATTGAAGACAGCAAGAGGAATTGCAGAGGGTCTGTGCTATTTACACCACAAATGTGATCCACCACTTGTTCATAGGTAGCCCACTTGCAGGGGGTCTCCCGTGGCCAGCCCGTGGAAAGGATAAAAATGCCCAACGAACCAAACAGACTAGTCAACCAAAGAGCGTTCAACCGAAATGATTTTTTGAAGAACCTTCTGAATCATAATTGCACTTGTCTGGTTGTCCCTTGCTCCAGGACACCAAGTTTGACTGACAAATTAATAACTGGATCTTGGCCCAGTGGTTAGGAAGAGTCCCTAAATCTCTTCTATGCATTAGATCGGGAGATTTTTTCTTTTTTTTTTTTGTCAAAAAGATCGGGAGATTCAAATCTCACCCAATGCATCACACAAGATGCACAATACTTCTTTTTTATATATAATGAAGTAGTGCACTTATTTGGTCTTATAGTTTATTCCGCAGGCTTTCCCTTCCTTCATAGAATAGGCGTAAAAGTAAGTTAGATAGTTATCATTATCGACAAAAAGAGAGAGAGAGAGACAAATTAACACTTGATATTTTATTCTTGTGCAGCAAATTACTCCCTTTTCTTTTATCATCAAGATTCACATACTGATTTTTCCCTTTCTTCTTCATGTTAACTTTTCTTTTCTTTTTTTGTTCATTTTAGCTTCCAAATTCCTTTGCATAATTGATACTCATAGTCAAGTTACCAAAGATACAACCCTAAAAGTCAGTATTAATAGTCAAGTTACCAAAGATAAAAACCTAAAAGTCAGTATTAATTTTAATGTATATCCTATGTTTTTAATAAAATGTTGCTAATATATTGACGTTTACAATTTTTTGACTTTAGATTATAGTCAATTACTCTCAAACTTTGACCTATGGATTTGAAATACTCGTGTGTTTTTATTAATGATAGATTCACTCCTAGGGTTTTCTAGTGAGAGATTTTTCTCTTTTAAAATATACTAGTAAAAGTTTCTTCTCTTCTATATTATTCTGGTGAGAGTTTTATTCTGTCATAGGTTTTTTCTTGTGATAGCATTTTTAGTTCTTATCTTTTTGTGAAATTTGAGATTTTGTAAATTTAGAATCTAATTTCTTAGATCTAAAATTTCTCCATTATTGTCAGATCTAAATTTCTCTTTGAACTTGAACTAATTTTAATCAGATTTGATTATAAGAAGACATGCATAGATGTATTGGATTATGATGATTCATCCAGTTAAAAGATATATAAGAACATCAATATTATTTTTATTTATATTGATTTCTTAGATCTGTTATATTTATTGATTTCTTAGATATGTTATATTTATTGATTTCAGATCTATATGTAAATGTATCATGTTTGTTTGATATATTTTCTGCCATTAGTACAGATTTATTAAATGAAACGATCTTTTCTATAAAAAAAATGATAAATTCACTAGTGCAATTAAATATTAAGACAAGATTACTCAATCCTTTCACCGAAAGCTGGATTATTCCAAAATCATATAATTATTTTTTAAATCATAAAAATTATTTATGACATACTTGTAAAATCACAGGTCAACAACGGTTGAACCAGTGACTATTACCCAATCAAAATTTCCGGTTTTAGGAACAGTATTGGTTTCGAAACCCTGCTTCAGATATTTTTTCCTACTCATACCGAAATTAATTTCATGATTTTCAACCAGCTTGTAGAAAAGGAGTGGAGTACATCACGAGTCAACTTTCAGACAGACTGAAGTTTTACCAACCTATCAAAACGCAAAAACCACCGCTAGATTAATCAATCTTTCCACCAAACAGAATCTATTAGATTAATCATTCAAGATGTCCAGAATTTACGACAACTGGGAAAGGCTGGTCGGAGCTACACTCCTCAGGGAGGAGCTCCGGCTCATTGCTCAAAGAACTCCCAGCGATCTTTCTTTAGCATCATCAATACCATCACCACCTCCATCACCATCACCATCATCGTTGGCCAGGAGTTCATTTACATATGATCAAATACTCCAAGCCACCGATAACTTCAGCAGCTCCAACTTGATCATGTATGCCCGCACAGGGCTTCTGTTTAGGGGTGCTTTAGAAGCTGGAATTCGGGTTGTAGTGAAGAAAGTTGACTTGTCCTTGATCAATAGAACTTCCTTAATGCGAGAACTAGAATTTTACAACAAAGTTTCTCATCCTAGATTTGTCCCTCTTTTGGGGCATTGCTTGGAGAATGACAATCACAAGTTTCTTGTTTACAAATATATGCCTCATACGGACTTGCACAGCTTTTGGTCCAGGAATGTTGTTCCATTTTACCACGGTAACAATTTAGATTGGTTGAAGTGGGAAACGAGATTGAAGATAGCAAGAGGAGTTGCAGAGGGTCTGTGCTATTTACACCATAAATGTGATCCACCACTTGTTCATAACTTTATCTTCTTTTTTTTGTTCATTTTAGCTTTCCTTTTTTAGTTCTTTCCTTTTCCTTTTCTTCATTTTAAACCTTCCTCCAAATTCCTTTACATAATTGATACTCATAGTCAAGTTACCAAAGATAAAAACCTAAAAATCAGTATTAATTTTAATGAATATCCTATGTTTTTAATAAAATGTTGCTAATATATTGACATTCACAATTTTTTGACTTTAGATTATAGTCAATTACTCTCAAACTTTGACCTATGAATTTGAAATACTCGTGTGTTTTTATTAATGATAAATTCACTCTTAGGGTTTTCTAATGAGAGATTCTTCTCTCCTAAAATCTCCTAATGAAAGTTTCTTTTTTTCTATATTGTTCTAGTGAGAGTTTTGTTCTCTCCAAGGTTTTATCTCGTGATAGCATTTTTTTTTTTTTAACTTGTACTAGTTTTAATTAGATTTGACTATAAGAAGACATGTATAGATGTATTGGGTTATAATGATTCATCTGGTTGAAAGATATATAAGAACATCAATATTATCTTTATTCATATTGATTTCTTAGATCTGTTATATTTATTGATTTCAGATCTATATGTAAATGTATCATGTTTGTTTGATATATTTTATGCCATTAGTGCATATTTATTGAATGAAACAATCTGTTCTATAGAAAAATAATAAATTCACTAGTGCAATTAAATATTAAGATTACTCAATTCTTTCAACGAAAGTTGGATTATTCCAAAATCATATAATTATTTTTTAAATCATAAAAATTATTTATGACACACTTGTAAAATCACAGGTCTATAACGGTTGAACCAGTGACTGTTACCCAATCAAATTTTCCGGTTTGAGGCACAGTATTGGTTTCAAAACCCTGCCTCAGATTTTTTTTCCTACTCATACCGAAATCAATTTCGTGATTTTCAACCAGCTTGTACAAAAGAAGTGGAGTACGTCACGAATCAACTTTCATAGCCAGACTGAAGTTTTACCAACCAATCAAAATGCAAATACCACTAGTTTAATCAATCTTTCCACCAAACAAAATCTATTAGATTAATCAATCAAGATGTCCAGAATTTACGACAACTGGGAAAGGCTAGTCGGAGCTACACTGCTCAGGGAGGAGCTCCGGCTCATTGCTCAAAGAACTCCCAGCGATCTTTCTTCAGCATCATCAATACCATCACCATCTCTATCACCATCGCCATCATCGCTGGCCAGGAGTTCATTTACATACGATGAAATTCTCCAAGCCACCGATAACTTCAGCAGCTCCAACTTGATCATGTATGCCCGCACAGGGGATCTGTTTTGGGGTGCTTTAGATGCTGGAATTCGGGTAGTAGTGAAGAAAGTTGACTTGTCGTTGATCAATAGAATTTCCTTCATGCAAGAACTGGAATTTTACAACAAGGTTTCTCATCCTAGATTTGTCCCTCTTTTGGGGCACTGCTTGGAGAATGACAATCACAAGTTTCTTGTTTACAAATACATGCCTCATATGGACTTGCACAGCTTTTGGTTCAGGAATGTTGTTCCATTTTACCGCGGTAAGAATTTAGATTGGTTGAAGTGGGAAACGAGATTGAAGATAGCAAGAGGAATTGCAGAGGGTCTGTGCTATTTACACCATAAATGTGATCCACCACTTGTTCATAGGTAGCCCATATTCGAATTTGGTTAGATTTATTTTTGTTCATTAATCTATTTATTTATTTATTGCATGTATAATATTAAAAAAAATCTCTTTACGACTTGTGTAGGAAGGTTAATCTTACATATGATATTTTTTTATTTTTAGTTTGGAAGGTTTGAATAGATTGTGGTCTTCACTTGACATACTTCTCTTTTGGTTTTTTTTTTTTTTTTTTTGGGGGGGAAGAAACATCGATGCTAGTAGCATACTTCTTGATGATGATTTTGAAGTGCGGCTGGGGAGACTCCATGAGGTCTGTACTCAAGCGAAAGAGACGAATGGGAGTAGGTTTTCCAGGTACGTGTTTGACCAAGTATGCATTTGGCTAATTTTGGTGTGCTTTCCTTTTAGGATTTTTTTAAAAAGATTCTTCTTAGACATTGATTAATATATTTTTCCACGCATGTTCCATTTTCAAGAAAGTACTAAGGAAATAATTTTTTAAAAATGAAGTATATTTTTTTTCGATCTTTATTTCAAGTGTCATATTTTTGGAATGCAAGATTAATTAGGAAAAATAAGCAAATACAAGGGGCAGTAGATAAAATTAAATAGGAAATGTATATAAATATAAGGAAGGGTAATAATTGTTAATATATGTACACATGGTAAATTATGTGAGTTCTAGATGTGCTAACGGATACCAAATCGAAAAATGGAGAATTCTTGTTTAAGGCAAAAAAATTTGAAAATATATTTCTGAAAATTCGAAATTATTCAAAGCTACCAGTTTGCTGCTTTCCGAATTTCTAATTTCTAGTTTAAGGCAAATTCTTAAGTGCAGAAAAGAACTCCCTTTTTTGGCATTGCCATAAACTGGAATCATATTTTAGCTTGTTAAACTTTCAAGGCTCGCATTTTACCTACTAGGCTGAAGTGCTAATTTGCTACTTAACACACATATTGCACTCCATTATCTTTTGCTCGCTCCTTCAGGAAAAACGCAAGAAAACTAGAAACGAAATGGAAAAGAATTGCAAGTAAAATATAAACCCACTTAAATTCATCATAAATTGAAGAAAAAAAACCCAGCAAGAAAACACCTAAAAGGAAGACTAATAGGGCAGATTATCATGAGATGCAACATCATTATTACATGGAGAATGATTACTTTCTAGTTTAACATATTACATACTACTATACCACATACAATTGCATTCAATTCTTGCATGATCCCTGTAACAGTAGTGCCATCAAAAACTTCAATTACTGGGTATAGCCAGGGTCTCCACAAATGAAATCGCAGAAGTATTAGTGCCACCACCAGGAAGCTGCTTAAGAACTTTCATAATTTTATAAGCAAAACTGTACTGTGCTATGAAACGCCTGTCCACCTCAATAATGATATCACCATTCTTCAAGAACCCTAATGGTACCAAAATGTCATGAAATACAACTAATCCCTCAATATTAAACAGCCATTTCCAAATTTTCCGGACACCATTATCTTCCAATATCCAGATCTCGAACTTGCTATCAGCCTTAAAAATCACAAAAAGCTTTTCCCTGAAATTTCCAACCCTGAATTCTTTTTCCTGCTCCCAGAATTGGCCACTTTTACTTTTAGTCGGTGCCCGGAACTCGCGGAGCTTCTGCTCATTCAAATTGTATGAAACCACCAGGCCGGATGCTGGCCAATGAAGATTTCCATTCACAAGAACCCCAATACTTTCAAAAACATTATAAGATCTGATATTTTGAATATTTTTCCACATATACCGCCCAAGTTTGTTGTCCATAGCATTGAGTATGAGATAAGAATGATATCCCAATACGATTACATAACCTCCAGCAGCAGATGAGTTGGGGCCAAACCCACAAAACGAGTAATGTTTACTGGTTTTGCATACTTCATCAAGCGGGAAATTTTTCTCTACCGTTTCATACAATCCCATGCACGGATTCCACAATACTATGTTGAAGTGTTCATCATGAAGACAAATTAAGCCGTTGTATGAACCGATAAGCCTGAAACTGTTGCTGTGAACTCCAGCAGGTTTAGGAAGATACTTCCACGCTTTTTCGACGTCTTTGTTGCTCAAACATGCATTGTATCGAAAACCTGCAATGTCTTTGCTGCTCAAACATGCATTGTAGCCTAGAGCTGCGGTTGGAGAAGTTATGAGGATTGAGTGTGACAATTTGTCTGGGTTTTTCAGAATTCGATCCAGGTGCACGTCCCGGAAATCGGAACTTGAGATTCTATCGGAAATTATCGAATTCCAAGTTTTGCAAACGCTCTGAAACCTCAAGAGGGACCTGGTTGGAAGCCATGAAAACATGTTTTCCAATACATATTGGTCCATTATTAACGATCGAGAAAAATAGAGAATACTGAAACACGGAATATATATTGGAAGAGGATAAAATCAAAATCGAAATTGAAGTCTAAATCGAGCTCGAGCATCAATTATCTTCAGCTCTCAAAAAATATTGGAGGCAAAAACCCTAGATAGAATTTGTCGATAACGATAAATAATGGACATACAGTTCTAAATAAACATAACAGGCAGTAAGATAGGAAAATCTTCCCTAATTGATTTGTGATTGTGGGCTCCTTTTATCATGGACAGGAGATGAAAATATGAGCGCAAAATTTGCTCCACATTTACTAATAGGTTGTTTACTTTAGTCAGGTATTACTCGGAATCCCTGTTTTAGACGGATTCATCAGTTGACATACCAAAGAAGGGTTAACTGGACTAAACCCCCTATAATTAGGGATACATTGCACTTTGCACCCTCAGATTATTTTAGCATAATTTTGCCCCAATACTAATTGCCGATTATCAACGGTTCACTTTTCCACTTAAAATATGATAAAAAGTTTTCATTAATATTTTATGCGCTGATAGTGTAGTGATTTTTTTTTACATTAGCAACTACAGATACATGACACATGTATATGATTTGAATTCATATTATGTAGAATGATATAAACCTATTAGTATAAAGAAAATTGTACACTAACAATATATAAAAGAATTAAGATTAATTTTTCCTACAGTGACAGTGTATACATTATCAGCGTTTGATGAATAACAACTATGTCAAATTTGAATTTGAATTTCAATTTTTGTATACATGTCATGAATCCAACAGTAATTGTATATACATTGTCAGTATATATAAGATTTACTCAAAAAAGTATACAAAAAGCTTATATGCCTACATAGTTGTGTTATTTCTTTCTTCCCCCCTTTATTCTTTAGTGAAAATATTGGATCACAATAAGAATAAGGATAGGAAAATTCGGCTACTTAACGACCAGCAAGGCTGCAAATGAGTTGGGGCCAAATCTGCAAACATATAATTACTGCATTGTCTATCACGTTGGAAGTTCTTTTCTATGTACAGTTTTCACTGATTCCATGCACATATTCCACGAGAATAAGTTGAACATTTTATCATGAAGACGTATTGGGCCATAATACGAACCTATATGAGCAATTGCCGAAATTTGAAGGATTAGGACGGGTTCTTCTTTTAGGGTGAAGTTTAAGGAAATTAGGACTTAGGTTCAGTTTGGAAATTGTTGAAAACCAGTTCCTGCAGATGGCACTTCTATCTAAAAAGAGCCCCGAAAGAATAATCTCGAATTTATCTAGATATCTGCTAAGTGCTAACGGAAATCTGTGACAAGAGGATCAAATCAAATCTTAACCAATTACGATAATCTCTCTAAAATATTTAAGATAATATTGAAGGAAATAAGATGAATTTAACGAAAAGCAGTTCAAACCCTAAAATTAGGTAGAGGATTGGGTTAGATGATACCATGAGAGGGATTATATAAGAAATTTTGAATTTAAAATCTCCCATTTATCAAAAAAAAATCCCTTAGAATTAGTAAAAACGATAAACTTGGTGAAGTTTCTTGATTTTTATTTTTACAACAGCTGGGCTAATAGTTTAATATTGGGAATATTCGTACCTAAATTCACATGATTTAGTTTATCCACGGTAGTGAATTGTTAACATGAAAACCTAGAGGGCAAAACAACAATTAACAAATAGTTAATTTTCTCTATACTAACAGAAATTAAAGTTTAAATTTTTACTCATTAATGATGTATACATTGTTAGTGTATACAAAAATAATCTAAATGTGTTAATAAAGTTTTTTTTTTTCTAATAGGGGCGGAGTGGAATTTAAACAATGGGGAGGGAATAGGAGGATTAGAACCTAGAATTTAAACGTAATTCTAATTTTAACTACTGGATCAATGATAATACTTTTTTTTTCTTTTTACCTTCCCACCTCTTCCCTTGACCTTCTCACTCCTAGGATGCGAAGGATTCTTTGCGATTCCTATGCCGTAGAAATATGCATATCATATGCGAAGGATTTTTTGCGATTCCTAAGAGACTAAATCGGTTTCTACCTTTCTTTGATTAATTTTCTGGACGCAGAACATAAGAGTAAAGTTAAAATAGATCTAATTAACCTTACCTGGGTTCTTTGAGGAGAGTACCTACTGCCATTGACATATGATCTACGAAAACGGTATTGGTAATGTTCCTGATAGTACTAACCTTGGTAAGATCTCGATGTTCTTAACTTGGTTCAAGAATTAAGATAATTTCCTAGATGAACTAAGTTTATTTACCTCGCCCTTCACAGGGTAGCTCGTTTGGTCACAGTAGCTTTTTTAAGGCCGTTGTCCAGCCACCCGCAAGGGTTTGATTCCCGTGATTAACGTGTTCGGGGGATGGGGCCTCTCCTCCCGGACCGGAGTGGGATTACTCGGGCCCCATAAGGATTGACCCGGACACTCACTCCGTCAGAAAAAAAAAAAAAAAAAAAAACTAAGTTTATTTACCTCGCTTGCTCCAAATGTAATTGGGTTTACTTTCATTGTGTTAGTTTTTAGAGAAAGATAGCATATATATTGGCCACGAGGCCAGTTGCCACTGATCATCAGAAGTCAGAACAAACAATTTGAAGAAAGGATAATAAGTACATTGGAAATTGTGCCTTCGGCCGGCACCACCACTCATCCGCCAAAACTAGCCACCACCTCCCACCACACCTTCCCCTCTTCCAACCACCCCCTCCCCTTTTTTCCTCTTCTCCTTCTTCCACCTCGCCACCACCGTCACTCCTCTCTCTACCCTTCTCCTTCCTCCCTCTCCTTCGTCCGCACTACCCCCTCCCACCGTGCACCACTGATCTTATGACTTACTGAGTATATGCCTAATAATTGTTCAATGACCATTATAAAACTTCTCCATAAGGTGGCGAACAAGGCCAGGAAAGCATCAATTTGCTATTTAATGTACATAATGCGACATATCTTTAGCTGCAAAAAACTCGAAAAGAGATTTAAGTAACAAATAAACCCAACATACTTCATTAATCAGAGTAAAAAGCCCCAGCAGGCGCCTACATCAACTTGTGATTTAGCAAGACTTCCACATTAACATAATCATGAGCAGATGCTATTAGCAAGAGAATGAACACTCTCTAGATTAAAGTTATTTTACCTTACTGTATCACAATTAAAGATGCAAACTGGATTTTTGGACACCAATCGAACCTCTACCAAATTCATGACGCACTTGGTCCAACACTAACCAAACGTCTTAACATTTTGGCACTTTAATCCACCACTAAGAAGAGAATTTTTATCAGTCCAATTTCGAAAAGAATCCACTTTTTCATGAGTAGTTTGGTCCAATACTAACCAAACTCCTTAGCACTTTGGCACTTCAGTGCACCACTAAGAGAGAATTTTTACCGATCCAACTCTGAGAAGAATCCATTTGTCCATGATTAGCCCAGTCTCACAATCTGAAACTCTGATACCAATTGTTAGGGAGAAAAATCTCGAGAGAACCCATCAAAGAGTCCAATATGTAAGTCAGAAACCCAACTCTAATCCAAAAACTTATATTATTAAGTTTCGAGTCTTTACTTATATACAAAGTTTCGAAAATTGATGTTAATTTTCATGTGGTTATCCAGTCAACATTGAGATTCACTATTCAGTCTAAAAGTCTGAAGTTTGAGAGCCTTCCTATAATCCTTGATTTGTTTCGTTGTGGTAGAGTCCCACTGATGACAAGATCAGCGTACTGGTAAATATAATTTGTCTGGTAAACCTTCATGCTAGAAATAAATGAATAAACTTTGTTGTTGTTATTGAAGATACGGGAAATAAAGCAAGGTCATGTGGTTAGAAATTTTTTCCTCCTCAAATCCTGCTCTCATTTCTCTTCTATATTGCAAGGAAAAGATTGAGATAGTAATTCTAGATTGAGTTTCAAATTAGATCATCTAGTTACCTAAGCAAAATGATTCTGAAAAATTGTTGGCCACTAAGTGAAATAAAATATAGGAAAATTATGTTATTTTTTACTTGTTCAAGCAAAAGCATTCTGGTTAATGTGCCTCTGGTGCATATGTGAAAAGTTTTAATTCAACTAAACTTTCATCCTTGCAAGTTGCACCTTATTGTTGGGCTAAAACCAATTTCACTAGCCATGCTTTTCCACAGGCTCAGTAGCATAAATACAAATTCATACAATTTTTTTTATAATAATAAATACAAGTCTTTTAAGTTTGTATAGGACTTATTTTTTCCTCAACTAAAATTTGGCAACTTTTCAAATCAAATATTAAAATATATACAAAGAAAATAAATAAATATAATTTGAGGCAAAAAGAATTCAAGAAAATATAATTTCACAATAAGACCAAAAGAAATTTAATAAATAAAAAACATTAAATTTATATAAAAAATAAAATGGAATTAAAGAAAATAGATTACAGGGAATAAACTTGGATATTGGACAGGATTAATCTAAACCCATCTCAAAGTAATCCCGCCTAAATTAATCCCAAAACACATATGGGTAAAATTGGGTCTAATCATAATTATTGGGTCCATCTCAAACTCAAACAAATCTTGCCCATCTTCCCATTTTGCTACCTTTACTTTAACCCAATTTCCTGAGATAGAATTGGTATTAGAGCACTATAACATGCTACAAATGAAATTGACATCAAGACAACCAACAAAAACTATCCTCATCACAAGTATAGAGGTCCTTGAGTGGAAGCCTTGAAAAAAGAAAATCCTCCAATGCATACTGATCCATTATTCAAGGATATTCAAAAATATGGAAACATAAAAATATATATTATACAAGATGAATTCAACCTAGAGGAAAAAACAAGAATAAAAAATATAAGGAATAAAAATGATAATCAAGCAGTTTAGAACCCTAGAATTGATAGGAAGCTACAAATTGAAATTGGTGGACATAGAATAAAAATGTTGCTTGGAATTACAATGTAACA